TAGCCACATGTGTCGTCAAACACTTGCAAACTGTTTTCCAAAAAGCGGATGCAGTTCATCCATGCCAAAGCCTAGGTTACAAACACGGAGAGATTCCAGACGCGCTCACAAAACCCTCTCAGAAATATTTTCCTGACCCTGGTGGTAGTGGTTTTTTTTTTTTTTTTTTTTTTTTGAGACGGAGTTTCCCTCTTATTACCCAGGCTGGAGTGCAATGGCGCGATCTCGGCTCACCGCAACCTCCGCCTCCTGGGTAAGCAATTCTCCTACCTCAGCCTCCCAAGTAGCTGGGACTACAGGCGGCGCCACCATGCCCAGCTAAGTTTTTTATTTTTAGTAGAGACGGGGTTTCACCGTGTTGACCAGAATGGTCTCGAGCTCTTGACCTAGTGATCCACCCGCCTCGGCCTCCCAAAGTGCTGGGATTATAGGCGTGAGCCACCGCGCCCAGCCTGAAATATTAAGGGTATTTCTTGGGACACACAAAGAATCTGACGGACCAGGAATCCAAGAACAGGGCATTTCATTTTCCACTGCAAATGACCTAGGGCGTGGTACCTCCCCAAGACCCCACTCCCACTTCCCCGAATAGACGGAGCTCAATCTCTATCCGGGTGTATTTCGGGGTGGGGTGCTCAACGCTTTTTGCTGAAAGGCCAATCACAGGTAAAACCCCAAAGCCCACATCTCTTCCTTTCGAAGAAAACGCGCAAACATTTAATGGGAGAGAGGTCGGTCCCAAGTCGTCAAAGTCCCAGATCTTCTGAGCCCCCAGAAGGAAAAACCATGACTTCCTTTAGATGCCTGGAACAACAGGTAGGCTTCCGGAGCCAGGCTGCCATCTATCAGTCTGAGGGGGCGGGAGGAAGGCTGTCTGGAGCCGAACCGGAGCTGCGCCCTGCTTCTTTCTGCTCTGCTGCTGCGGGGAGCTCCTGGCGTCCCAGCGCCGGAGGCCGCCGTCCAGCAGGGCGCCATGAGGTTGCAGTGCAGAGTCGGGCTCGTCTCTGGGGCCAAGGGTCCGAACTTTCCCAAGGCAAGGGTGCTGGAAACTGTGAGGGCGCACCTAAGGCCACCCGGGAGCAGGCGCAAAGTGCGGCGGACCGGCCGGCCAGGGCCCCGAAGCCAGCAGGCGTCGAGCGTGGCCAGCGCCCAGTGCAGTGCGGCCCCGGCGTGCGCCAGCTGCCAGGTGAGCCATGCGCGCTGCGAGGCGCTGGGCTGCGTGGCGCAGGCGGGCCCCGGCAGGAAGGCCCCCCCCCGGGGCCCGAAGCTCGCCCAGTGCCACCTCCAGCCCGCCCAGGTGGTTGAGGACTCGCGACAGCAGGCGCGGAATGGAGACACAGGCTTCTGGGGAGAGGCGCCGTCGGCGCTTTGCGGGGGTGGGTCGCTCCTCCCAGAAGTCCACCTGGCGTTCCAGGCCGCTGGTCCTCCCTAGGGATCTAGGCAGGGTGTTGTGGCTCCTCCAGGCGCTTCGGACTGGGAACAGAACCCGAGTGGGAGAGAGAGCAGGAGGTGTCAGAGGGACTGTGTGCAGCGGTAGGGGACCCATTTACAACATCCCACAGCCCCCCCTCCCCTCCGCCCTCCGTCCTCGAACCCCCCGCAGCTCTCCTCCAAGAAACATACTCTTGGTCCCTCCCTGCATCCTGGAGACCCCTGTGCCCTGCCGGGGTGCCTTCCTCTCTGCCCTTTCCAATGTGAAGCACAGGGGCCACTGAGGGCCTTGGTTCCTGGCGCACTGGGGGCTTCCTCAGCCCCCTCACCCAATCCCCGCTCCCTTTCCCAGGGCCCTGTGCCCTCCTCCCCACCCCGCCAAACTTCCAGCCCGGAAAACTGCCTTCTCTGAGGTCGTGGGGACCTCCTGCTCTGCTGGACTCATACGACTTGTCGTGGCGTCTCTCTCCTGCTGGGGCTGGTCGTGGCTTGACCTTCCGCCCTCGGTTTCCGATGTCTCTGCGGAGACTGCCAGGGGAGCCATCTGGGCTTCTCCACCGTTTGTGCCTGGACACAGATGCCTCCCGGCTGTGCCCACTGGAAGCTGTGGGTGAAGAGGAGGTCATAGTGAGTGTCCCATGACCCGTGCATAGACGGCTGCAGGAGGGCTGCAAAGGCCAAGCTCCCAGAGTGCCTTCACAACAGGAATGACTCTGCTCCCAGGTGCCCCCATCTTTCTCCAGCTGCCCAAGACCTCCAGGCCCCATTCCCAGGGTCCCATCCTGTCTCCTGACTCTGGCTGTTCCCCAGCTGCCTGGCACCCTCCAGCAAACCCTCCTCCGCGGGCGCACCTAGAGTATGTCTCAGCTGGCGGAGCTACCCAGCATCAGGAATCTGGCTTTCCCCTTAGGATTTCCCCACCACCTGCCAGATCAGGGTCCATGGTGAGGGCGGGGGGGCGGGTCGGGGAGAGAGTTGGGGCCGCTACCTTTGTCACTCCAGCTCTAACTCTCCTGCTTCCCTGCCCCCTGCAAGCCCCTCCCCACAACAATCTTCACAGACATGACACTGGACCCTCACCTCGTTTTCTCTCATAGTCCTTATGGCTCTTAGGGGTCTTCATCTTCCCCTGCTTTCCACAGGGAGGTCTGTCTTCTCCCTTCTCTTCAAAGGACAGATTTTTCATCCAGAAAACCCCTCTGTGTTCCCTGCAGGAAGGCTCTACCCTGTGTCAGCATGAACAGCGCCAAAGGGGAAATGAAGGAGCAGGCAGGTGGAGCCAGTGGGTTTTTATAGAGAGCCAGGACTCCCTGCTGGGTTTTCCCAGGAGTGTTTGCTGCGGCCACGCCCACAGTGGCAGGCTCCGTGGATTAGGTTAGGCGGGTTAAAGGGATTAAGCTTTCTCCCGGGGTTCCTACCACTCTTTCTCTAGCAACTGATGAGCAACTTTGCACAGTGGCAGAACAGCAAGAAAATTAGTTCTGTGATTCCCGGTAATTTCAAATAAAGTGCCATACTTCGTTGCCCATTTCAAAGTCCCCTCTACCTCTACGTTTTACAATTTCTTCAATTCCTGGTGTGGGCATGTGTGTGTGTGTGCATGCACACTATGCGGAGAGTTGGGAAAATTTCGAGTGAAGGGAGACCGAAACCTGGAGGTTCTCTTGCTCCTGCAGTCTGGGGAAGAAACCCTCATTTCTGTCACGGAAGCAGGAATGTATCTGTGGATGTTGGGAAGGGATGGACAGGGTGTGGGGTCATCCCTACTTAGCTCTCTATCCAGAAACAGGCAAGAGAGAGCAGTGGGCCAGAAGGCCACATTTTGCCCACACCATTTAGGTTTGAATGTGTTCCTCCTAGCCTTCAGGTTCTGATGTTCCCCTTTCTTGTCTGTTTTGGGATCAGGAACATCCCACCGGGCACCGATGGGGTGTATTTCTACAGCCTTCTGCCTCGCTCCATGAGCACGTGAATCCATGAAGGGACACAACTCTTGCCAGGACCCAGTGGGAGTTGAGGAGGAGAAACATGGTAAGAGAAGAAAGGGAGAGTCAGATGTTCAAGGCCCAGGCTATCCCTGGCAAGCCTTAGAAACAGCGTGCAGGGAGACCTCCCCCAGAAAGGAAGCAGTGAAAGGAAATAGAATGTCCACAGGACCGGTGCTGTAGGATCTACTCGCGCCTTGAAAGCTTTCATGGACATCTCAGACTCTTTTCACCTTGGAACAGGTGCAGAGGGACTGTCGCCTGAGGACAAGGCTGCTTGGCCAGCTGGGTGTGGGAGGTGCCAACAAGGTAAGTGTTGGCCAAGCGGTGTTGGTCAAGACTGATAAGGAGGTTGCTGAGGAAATCACAACTGGAACTGGGATCCAGCACCTCCGGCATATCACCTAAGGACTCAAAATTGGGATGTGGAGCAGATATGTGCCCTGATATGTTGGTTGTGGGTACGCTGCCTGTAACCAAGATGTGCAATCCACCTAAGTTCCCATTAGCAGATGAATCAAGAAGGACAAAGGAATATGGTTGGCCAAAGAAAGACATAAAGGAAAGGAGACCCCGTCATCCAAGATGTCATGGATAGACCCAAAGGTTGTGCAGGCAAATGAAATCAGCCAGGCCCATCTGACCCGTACTGCAATATCTCTTTTGGATGTGGGATGGAAAATGGTGAGGATCATGAAAGTAGCGGTTAGAAAGGTGGTTGGCTGGGCCTGGGTCAGGGGCAGGGGCAGGGGCAGGGAAACGACACCGATGGGAAGATGTGGGTCAGAGGGCACAAAGTTTCAGAGAGACAGGTGGAGAGCTTCCTGGATATCCATGGAGGGGCAACGTGAGTACGGTGGATCAGAACGTAACATATTCTTGAATATACCCAACGGAGTAGGCCAAATTCCACCAACTGGGACAGGGGAAAGGTGTGTGGTGAGAAGTGTGTGAATTCGGTTGATTCTAGTGAATTCTGTAATGAAGACGTCACATACAGTAAATATGTATATTTATTTATTGTCATTCATACTTGAAGCCACCCATGGGGGAAGGAAATATTAAATCATGAAACAAAACTTCAAAGAGAAACCACTTCTATAAAAATCTAACATCCCTAGGACCTCTCTTTGGTTCACAAGGACTGACCAAACACCTGGACATCTCCCTCTCCATCTGGGGCTTGCTCCAAATGGCCCCCCACTATTCCAGGGGCATGGGCATCTCCCCTAACTCTCCCTGCTCTCCTGAATCCATGCTGCCTATCACCCATCAATATCCATGCTTTGTACAGAGCTCAGTTGGATTTTCTTTGTCCCATCTATTTTCCCAAGAAAGAAGCCACCATTCCAAGACACCAAGTGGGACATTCCCCTTCCAACTTCTTCTCCAGAGTGGCCGAGGTGCTCATCACTGGCTAAGGAGAGAGGCTCCCAGGTTTCAGTTAGAATGCACGGGACGCTGGCTTCCACAAAAAAAAGAAAAAAAAAAAAAAACAACTGACCTCAAAGAGGTAGCCACATGGGTCATCAAACACTTGTAAGCTGTTTTCCAAAAAGTGGAGGAAAGCCTAGGGTACAAATACGGAATGGTGTAGAGATTCCAGAGGCTCACAGAACCCTGTCAGGAATATTTTCCTGACCCTGGTGGCAGAGGTTTGAAATGTTAAGGGCAAGGTACCTCACCAAGACACCAGCTCCACTCCCGAGAACCGACCTGGCTCACTCTGTAGCAGGGTGTCTAGAGTTGGGTTTTCCCAAAAGTGTTTGCCGCGGCCACGCCCACAGTGACAGGCTCCCTGGATTAGGTTAGGCCTGTTGGGGCAGGGTTCACAAAGCTCTGGGCTGGAAGAAGGCCAATCACAGGTCAAACACCAAAGCTCACACCTGTTCCTTTCAAAGAAAACGCGGAAATATTCAATCGCAGACAGGTCAGTCCCAAGTAGTCAAAGTCCCAGATCTTCTGAGCCCCCAGAAGGAAAAACCATGACTTCCTTTGGATGCCTGGAACAACAGGTAGGCTTCCGGAGCCAGGCTGCCATCTATCTGTCTGAGGGGGCGGGAGGAAGGCTGTCTGGAGCCGAACCGGAGCTGCGCCCTGCTTCTTTCTGCTCTGCTGCTGCGGGGAGCTCCTGGAGTCCCAGCGCCGGAGGCCGCAGTCCAGCAGGGCGCCATGAGGTTGCAGTGCAGAGTCGGGCTCGTCTCTGGGGCCAAGGGTCCGAACTTTCCCAAGGCAAGGGTGCTGGAAACTGTGAGGGCGCACCTAAGGCCACCCGGGAGCAGGCGCAAAGTGCGGCGGACCGGCCGGCCAGGGCCCCGAAGCCAGCAGGCTGTCGAGCGTGGCCAGCGCCCAGTGCAGTGCGGCCCCGGCGTGCGCCAGCTGCCAGGTGAGCCATGCGCGCTGCGAGGCGCTGGGCTGCGTGGCGCAGGCGGGCCCCGGCAGGAAGGCGCCCCCCAGGGCCTGAAGCTCGCCCAGGGCCACCTCCAGCCCGCCCAGGTGGTTGAGGACTCGCGACAGCAGGCGCGGAACGGAGACACAGGCTTCTGGGGAGAGGCGCCGTCGGCGCTTTGCGGGGGTGGGTCGCTCCTCCCAGAAGTCCACCTGGCGTTCCAGGCTGCTGGTCCTCCCTGGGGATCTAGGCCGGTGCTGTGGCTCCTCCAGGCGCTTCGGACTGGGAACAGAACCTGAGCGGGAGAGAGAGCGGGAGGCGTTAGAGGGACTGTGTGCAGTGGTAGGGGACCGATTTCCAACGTCCCACAGCCCCTCTTGACCCCGCCTCACCCGCCTCCCCCGCCCTCCATCCTCCACCTCTCCGCAGCTCGCCTCCACGCCCCATACTCTTGGCCTGGGGACTCCTGTGCCCCGTCCGGGGTGCCTTCCTCTCCTTCCTTTCTAACTTCAAGTGCCTCTCACCCGGGGCCACCGGGGGCCTTGGCTCCTGGCACACTGGGGGCTTCCTCAGCCCCTTCGCCCATTCCCAGCTCCCCTTCCCAGGGCCCTGCGCCCTCCTCCCCACCCCGCCAAACTTCCAGCCCGGAAAACTGCCTTCTCTGAGGTCGTGGGGACGTCCTGCTCTGCTGGACTCATACGACTTGTCGTGGCGTCTCTCTCCTGCTGGGGCTGGTCGTGGCTTGACCTTCCGCCCTCGGTTTCCGGTGTCTCTGCGGAGACTGCCAGGGGAGCCATCTGGGCTTCTCCACCGTTTGTGCCTGGACACAGATGCCTCCCGGCTGTGCCCACTGGAAGCTGTGGGTGAAGATGAGGTCACAGTGAGTGTCCCATGACCCGTGCTTAGACAGCTGTGGAAGGGCTGCAAAGGCCAAGCTCCCAGAGTGACTTCAAGTCAGGAATGGCTCTGCTTCCAGGTGCCCCCATCTTTCTCCAGCTGCCCAAGACCTTCAGGCCCCACTCGCCGGGTCCCATCCTATCTCCTGACTCTGGCTGTTCCCCAGCTGCTTGGCACCCTCAAGCAAGCCCTCCACCGTGGGCGCATCCAGAGGATGGCTGAGCTGGCGGAGCCACCCAGCACCAGGAATCTGGCTTTCCCCTTAGGATTTCCCCACCACCTGCCAGATCAGGGCCCATGGAGGGGAGCGGGGGCCGCTGCCTTTGTCACCCAGCTCTAAGTCTCCTGCTTCCCTGCCCCGCTGTGAGCCCCTCCCCACACCAATCCGCAGAGAGAAGACACTGGACCCTCACCTCGTTTTCTTTGAGAGCCCTTCAGGCTCTCGCGGGTCTCCATCTTCCCCTGCTTTTCACAGGGAGGTCTGTCTTCTTTCTCTTCAAAGAACGAGTTTTCCATCCAGGAAGCACCTCTGAGTTCCTCGCAGAGAGGCTGTGCTCTGTGGCAGCCTGTGCAGGGCAAATTGGGAAATGAACGGGTGGGTGGAGCCAGTGGGTTTTTATAGAGAGCCAGGACTCCCTGCTGGGTTTTCCCAGGAGTGTTGGCTGCAGCCACGCCCACAGTGGCTGACTACCTTGATTAGGTTAGGCGGGTGGATGAGATTCTGCTTTCTCCCTGAGTCACTGACAGTCGTTCTCCAGCAACCGATTAGCAGTTTTGCAGAGTGGCAGAAGAGAGACAAAACTAGTTCTGGGCTTCAAGGTAATTTCAAAGCAAGAGCTGTACTTTATTTCCCGTTTGCATTGCCTCTCTGTTTTTGCGTTTCATGATTTCTCCACTTCCCGGTGTGAGTCTGTGTGTTTGAGTGTGCATGTGTTTTTGTTTGTGAGTGTGTGCTAGTGTTTTCTTGCACACTGTGTGGAGAGCTAGCCAGATTTTGAATGATGGGTGATTGAATTCTAGAGATTCTTTTGCTCCTGCCATCTGTGGAGCAAGGATTCATTTCTATCATGGCTACCTGAATGCATTGATGGACGTTAGGAAAGGACAGGGTTTGGTTTTGTTTCTACTTAGCTTTCTTTTTTATTTATTTATTTTTTTTTTGAGACGGAGTTTCGCTCTTGTTACCCAGGCTGGAGTGCAATGGCGCGATCTCGGCTCACCGCAACCTCCGCCTCCTGGGTTCAGGCAATTCTCCTGCCTCAGCCTCCTGAGTAGCTGGGATTACAGGCACGCGCCACCATGCCCAGCTAATTTTTTGTATTTTTAGTAGAGACGGGGTTTCACCATGTTGATCAGAATGGTCTGGATCTCTTGACCTCGTGATCCACCCGCCTCGGCCTCCCAAAGTGCTGGGATTACAGGCGTGAGCCACCGCGCCCGGCCTCTACTTAGCTTTCTATCCAGAAATAGGCAGCAGAGAGCAGTGGGCATGAGGGCCACATTTTGCCCACATCATCCTGGTTTGAGTTTGTTCCTGCTAGCCTCCCCGACCTGATTTTCTTCTTCCTTTTCTGCACCAGACCAGTATTACACAGGGCTCAGGAACATCCCACTGGGGTGTCGATGGAATCGTGTGTGTATCTCCACAGCCTTCAATGAGCCCGTGTGTCAAAGAAGGGGCTGAAGTCTAGGCAGGAATGGGGGGGAAACTTGCAGAGATTAGAAAGGCAGCATCAGTCCGGGCATGGTGGCTCAGTCCTGTAATCCCAGTACTCTGGAAGGCCGAGGCGGGTGGATCACGAGATCAGGAGATCGAAACCATCCTGGATAACATGGTGAAACCCAATGTCTACTGAAAATAATAAAAACATTAGCTGGGCTTGGTGGCAGGCACCTGTAATACCAGCTACTCTGGAGGCTGAGGCAGGAGAATCGCTTGAACCCGGAAGGGGAGGTTGCAGTGAGGTGAGATCGTGCCACTGCACTCCTGCCTGGGTGACAGAGTGAGACTCCCGTCTCAAAATAAATAAATAAATATAGAATCAGAGGTGTGAGGCCCAGGCTGTCCTTGGAAAGCCCCAGAAAAGTTGTATACGATGAGCTCAGAAAGGAAGAAGCTAAAAAGAAATTTTAATGTCTGTAGGTCCAGTGCCATCGAATTCACTTATGGTTTTAAAGCTTTTATAAACACCTCAGGCTCCCCCAACACTGGAGTCAGCATGGATTGTAGGGTGGCCTGAGTACAGGGTTTTTTGGCCAGCTTGTTTTCTGAGATGCCCAGAAGATACTTCTACAGTAAAAAGACATATATATAATATATATATTATATATATACACATAGCGCGCGCACGCAGACACACACACACACACACCCAGTCTTTTTACTGTAATGAACCTGGGGAAAATATTAAATTAGAAAAAAAAAGATGAGAATGAAAGAAAGAAACACACTAAAAGAAAACGTAACGTTAATAGGGCTGGTCTGCAGTTCATGTGTACTGATTTACCACCTGGATATTTTGATCTATATCTGAGGTTCCCTTCAGCTTGCTCTTCAATATTGTAGATGCATTGGTTGCTCTGCTGACTCCAAGCTGTCTACCTAAGTGTCACCCATCAGCTTCAGCTGCTTTGTGCAGAGCTCACATGGTATCTGTCACATCTCTCTTCATAAGAAAGAAGCAACTATTCCAAGACACGCAATAGGACATTCTCCTTCTAACTTTTTCCCCAAAGTTTACCAAGTGCTCATCACTGGCTAGGGAGACAACCTCCAACTTTAGGTTAGAGTGAATGAGATTCTGTTGTAAAATCTTTATATACTTCAAGGAATTCTGTATTTTGAGGGGAATAGGCTGCAAACTTGATTACTACCAATATGTGTAGTCATCCCTTTTGCAAGTTGAAATTAATGATTTTTGAAATAATTGATTCTTCTCCATTAACAATATTCACTTTGCTTCATCAGTGTGAGATTTCTTTTCAGACTAATAATAAATTTAAGCAGCTTGGATGCCTAAGTGGTATTTAGGAATTGATTTAGGAGAGCCTGCTCAAAGCAGAAAGACTAGGTATTTTATACCCTTGAAGGTTTTGGTCAAGAGTTCAGGAGTCAGGCCAGGTGTGGTAGCTCATGCCTGTAATCTCAACACTTAGGAGGCCAAGGTGGGTGGATCGCTTGAGGTGAGGAGTTTGAGACCAGCTTGGGCAACATGTGAAACCCTGTTTCTACAAAAAAATGTGAAAAAGAAAGAAAGAAAAGAATTATCTGGGTGTGGTTGCAGATGCCTGTAGTCCCAGCTACTGTGGGAGCTGAGGCAGGAGGATTGCTTGAGCCTGGGAGGTGGAGGTTGTAGTGAGGCACTGCACTTTAGCCTGGGCAAGAGCAAGGCCCTGTCTCAAAAAAAAAAGTGGTGTATATACCCCATGGAGAACCATTAAGCCTTTAAAAACACAACAGGAAATTCTGTCATTTGCAGCAACGTGGATGAACCTAAAAGATTTAAGTAACATAAGCCAGGCACAGAGATAAATATATGACTTCACTTACATGTAGAAGCCACAAAGCTGAACTCATAGAAGTAGAAAGTAGAAAGGCAGATACTAAAAGCTGGTGGGTGGTGGTTGCATGGAGAAAGGGGAGATGTTGGTCAGTGGGTACAAAGTTGCAGTTAGGAGGCATAAGTTCTGGTGTTCTTTTGTACAGCCAGGTAACTGCAGTTTGTAATAATGTATTCTATCTTTCAAACTAGCTAAAAGATGGGATTTTTAAAGCTGGGAATGGTGGCTCCTGCCTATAATCCCAGCTACTTGAGAAGCTGAGGCAAGAGACTGCTTGAGGCCAGGGATTTGATATCCTATCTCTTAAGAAAAGGAGGGAGGGGCTGGGCGCAGTGTCTCATACCTGTAATCCCAGCACTTTGGGAGGCCAAGCTGGGCAGATCACAAGGTCAGGAGTTTGAGACCAGTCTGGCCAATATGGTGAAATGCTGCCTCTACTAAAAATACAAAAAAAAAAAAAAAAAAAAATTAGCGGGATGCGGTGGCAGGTGCCTGTAGTTCCAGCTACTCAGGAGGCTGAGGCAGGAGAATGACTTGAACCTGGGAGGTGGAGGTTGCAGTGAGCAGAGATCATGCCACTGCACTCTAGCCTGGATGACAGAGTGAGACTCCATCTGAAGAAAAAAAAAAGTGGGGAGGATTTTAAATGTTCTCACCACAAAGAAATGATAAATATTTAAAGTGATAGATATTCTAATTACTCTGATTTGATTATTCCACAATGTATACACACATCAAAATATCACTTTGTGCCTCATAAATACATATAATTCTTATTTGTCAATTAAAATAAAACAAATAGTACATGAAATAACTTTAAATACATATTACCAAGTGAAAAAGAAGCCAACCTGAAATGGCTGCATACTATACGGCACTCTGGAGAAGACGGAACTATGGAGACAGTAAAGGATCAGTGGTTTTGGTCATGCATGGTGACTCACACTTGTAATCCCACCACTTGGAGAGACTGGGTTGGGAGGATTGTTTGAGGCCAGGAGTTCAATATTGGTTTAGCCAGCATAGTGAGACTCCCATCTCTACAAAAAAAGATTTTTAAAATTAGCAGACATGGTGGTGTGCACCTGTGGTCCTAGCTACTTGGAAGGCTGAGGTGGGAAGATCACTTGATCCCAGGAGTTTGAGGCTACAGTGAGCTATTTTTATGCCACTGTACTCAAGCCAGGGCAACAGAGTGAGACCCTGTCTCTAACAAAACAACCAAAATGATCAGTGGTTGGCATGGGTTAAGGAGAGGAAGTGATGAATAGGCAGAGCACACAGCAATTTTAGGGCAGCGAACCTATTCTGTATGATATTATAATGGTGGATACACATGATTTTATATTTGTCGGAACCCACGAAATTTACAACACAAAGCATCAACCCTGAT